GTAGGCCAATGACGTGCTTGCCCTCCTGTAGCTGGCTCTCTGTGAACTCCCTCTTGTGCTCCTGGGCCTTCTTCATAAACCAGTTGGGGTCACCACGGTAGTGCCCGTCGTTCTTGGTCACTGCCAAGCTGCCCAAAGCCATGAGGGTCCTCTGCACGGCTGCCATGTCTTTGCCTTCAAAGAGGTCCACAGTCTGGAACATGTCCGTTTTGGTGACCCCGTCCGTAGTCCTCGGCCGCCTTCAGGAACTGAGCCACCTGCTCCATCTGTTTGAAGACCGTGGAGGGTGGGGTCTCTGGCACCTTCACGGGCTTGGAGCCAGGATGGAGGCTGCTCACCAGCTTGCTCAGAACCACGCCGTTCTTCAGCCAGACCTGGAAGCCCAGGCGCCCACGGTCCGGGCGGCCCACGTCCGGGCCACACTGCATCACAATCCACTCCACCAGCTGCTCCTCCAGGTCCTTGTCGTACTTCTTCTCGATTTTGGACTGCACCTCGCGGCTCATGCCATAGGAAGGACCTTTGTTGGCCATGCTGGAGAGAGGGGCTCCTAGAGGAACTCAGTCCGTGGGTTGGTCTCAGTGTCTGGGGCTTGGACAGACAGGCCACAACACTCGTTTATTGTCTCACAGTTCTGGCATGCTCCTTCTGAAGGCTCCAGGAGGCGGGGGCAGTAATCCATCCTTACCTCTCCTGGTTTCCGGTGGTTGCAGAAACCCTTGGCATTTCTTGGCCTATATCAGCCTTACTCCAATCTCTGCCTCCAACATCATGTGGTCTTCTTCCCTGTATTCTATCTCTGTGTCTAAATGTGACTCTTTCTATTGGGACACCAGTCATTAAGGCCCACCCTATCCCAATATGGCATCATCGACAAAGACCCTATTTCTAAATAAGGCCACATTCACATGAACCAGCGGTTAGGGATTCAACACATCTTTGGGAGAGGACACAATTCAGCCTCCAACACAGAACATAAGACGTTGATCCTCTGAGACTTTACTTGCCAGGACCCCTTTGGCCCAGCTTACCCCACTGAAGCCCTTAAGGGCCTCTCTCTTCCCCTTGCCACTCCTTTTTTCAGACCTACTCATGCCCTAGCCTCTTAGGACCTAAGCACCTAAGATCTGAAGGACATGCTAAGTTGGAAAGTCTATGTTTTCTTCTACCCTCCTTGGCCACCAGAGCCCACTGAGCTGAGTGTTCCCTAAACAAAGAACTTCCATTGATGGAAACCATGCCCCCTTTGAAGCCAAAGCAAATGACTCCCATTTCTTTCTTTTAAAATTTGTTTTTCATTTCATTTCTTGCTAGTCAGAGTTGACTAGAGAAACAAATTCATAGACACTTATATGTGTATAAGAAAGAGGCTTATATAAAAGAGAAATTGTATATTGAGAAAACATCCCCCGCCCAAAAAAAATCCCAGCCCAGTCTCAATCAATAAGTCCAATATCAGCCTATATGTCTGAGATCAGTCTGTTAACTCCTTTTCAGACTCATGCAACACATGCAATGACGCTGAGTACAGGAAGATCACAGGCCAGTGGGTGGAAAGTCTTGTGGATCCAGTGGCAGTGGAAGCATTTTAGCACTGGTGTGGGTCTCCATGTTGCTCCTCCACCTCCAAGACGGGCTGCCATCAACATAGATCCATGTACCTTGTCAATAGGAATGTGTAGCTGAGAAACAAAGCGGAGAGAGCATGTGTGTCTGGCCTCCAGTGAGCTATTTATCTCCAGTTTGCCTGCAAA